TTGGGATTTAGAACAATCAGATCATTATTGTTGTTAGAGAAGATATGGGTGGTAGTGTGTGGGTTGTGTTGAGCATTAGGGGTAATGGTGACTTGTGGAATTGCTTGTGGATGGGGGTAAAAGGAATCCTTGAGTTCATTTAGGTTGTTGGATCCTCGTTAATATATTTAACCGCTGTCTCTGCATATTATATATTCTTATTTCCTTTGATGTTCCTATGTTGTCTAGCTCCCTTATAATTGTTTTTATTTCTATTTGCATTGAACTTTTTGTTGGTTTTTTCTGGATGCCTGTTATTTCTTTTTCTTTCATTTTTATCATCCATGCCCCATATCCAATTTTTGTTTGTTTATCTTATGCTGCATCCATTATTAGTATCACTATTTCTTTACTTTTCTCTTTTGCCTTCCTTGTCTTATTCCTTTCTCTTTCTGTGGTTGGTATATCTGCTGCTGTTTCCAGTTGTGTTCTTATATAGCCTATTCTCTCCTTCTGATCATTATCTCTTATTTTTACTTTCTTAATTACCAGGCTTCAGGTTCCTTGTATGTTTTTCTGACATATATATATGTTTTCTCTTTTCTCCTCATCTTTGTCACATCCTTTACACTTCTTGATCTCTTTGTTTTCTCCCTCTTCTACATAGTGCTCCATTATTAATCTCTCTTTATCTATTCTTTTCCTCTTTTTGCCTATAATTGTTTCTTTACCCTTCTAAAATGCTATCCATTTTATTCTTTTCATATCCCCATACTTGTTTAATCTTGGCATTGTTATTTGTACTATTTTCTCTCTTTCCTTTTTAATCATTTCATCCTTTTTCCTTTTCCAGAGCTCTTTTGTTATGTACTATTTAGGTGCTCTTCTCTTTTTTTCTTGACCAGGGTTTATGTATTTTCAATCCAGAATTGTCTCGCCATCTCTATGCTATCATCTGATTTATATACAGTGTCTTTCATTTCCTCATCTTACTTTTTTCTTTAAGGTATTCTTCTTTCCTCCATATTTTTTCTATTGCTATTTTCCCTCTCTGTGTTTCTATTCTTTGATTCCATGCTTCCTTTTTGATCCCAAACTCTGCTTTTTTGCATGCAAGTAGCATGCTGACTAGCACACTATGTTTACTTTTTGTCTCCAGATATTTCTCATTCTCAATTACTTTTTTTACTGACTACGAGTCTTTTTGCAACTGCATAATTCTTATTTCTGTTGTTGCTCCCAATATGTTATAGTTCTCTATAATAGTCTCTATACTTCTTATTCTGTTTTGTATAACTTTTTTCTTCAGATCTGCTATGTTCGCCAGTTGCTTTATTCTCAGTACGCTTTTGATATAGTTCTTACAAATTTATACTGACTCTTGAAGCAGTCATCTATTTTCTTCTGCTATTTCTTTATTTTCTCCTCTCCTATATTCATATCCATAATCATGTAGTCTATTGCTAGAGTTATGACTGCGTTGATTAGGTATTGTATTATTTTTGGAGTTAATCTCTTGTGGCTCAATGTCCTTAGATTATATATCATCATTTCTTCTGTCTTTCTCGTTTGTGTTGCCCTTCCTTTTTTTCCCTGGATTCACAATTCCAGAAACCGTTCTGCTTTTGTTTCTTTATTTGCTTTTATTTTTGTTCTCATTAATATAATTTCTTCTCTTTTTGTTCATGTCTTTTTATTTGCTATTACCAGTTTTGTCTTGTCTTTATTCACCTGAATATCATTAATCCAATAGAACTCTTCTGCAATACTAAGTATTTTATTTATATCCTTGCTATTCTTTGCTATCCAGGTTGTGTCATCCATATATATCAGGTTGTTTATTTTCAGCTGCTTTATCTGCTGCTCTCCTGTTTCAAAATTTGTTATTCTTTCTCCTGACATCTTGTATCTCTCTTCCATCTTATTGATCTTACTTATTAATAGGTTATAAAAGATTTTTCATAGCAAGGGTGATATAGGATCCCCTGATTCAATCCATTCTTTACCTCATATTTTTCTATTGTTTCCTATGCTGTAATAACATCTGCTGTTCTATTTCTCCTCATTTTTATTAACAGTTTGATAATTGGCCTTGATATATCTATTTTCTTCAAAGCTGCTCTAATGCTATCTGTTTCTATCGAATCAAAAGCTTTCTTTGTACTTTGCAACAATATCCATACTTCCTTATTCTTTTCCTTTGTGTCTTCTAGCAAATTATTTAGCACCAATCTGGACTTTGTTGTGGTTCCTCCTGTTGTTCCAGCCCAATTATTGTTTTAAGCACTTGTCTTCTTGTTAAGCACTTGTTTATTCTTCTAGTTAGAATTTTCATAAATATTTGTCTGCCCGTCTCAATCAAAGCTATTAGTTTAAGCTTGTCCATCTGTTTCTGCCAGTTCTATATTTTTGGAATTGGATACACCCTTATGTGTTTCCATGCTGATGGTACTTGGCCTTCTTCCATTATTTGATTTAGTATTTCTCTTACATTCTCTAGTTTCTGTTTGCTACAGTGTTTAAACATCTCATAACTTATTTCTGATGCTCTGGGTGCCTTTCCGTTGCTACATGCTTGAATTACTTCCAGCAATTCTTCTTATGTTATTTCTTTCATCTGTTGCTTTTTATCTTCATTGGTTATTGCTTTCCCTTGGGTTTCTTTATACTCTTTCCACTATTTTTCTTTATATTTCTCCAGTAACCATCGTCTCTTCCTACTATTGTTTTTGAAGAAATGCAATACTCCCTTTTTGACTTCCTCTGATTCTGTCATCGTTTCATTTGTCATTGGCTGCCAGATTCTGTCCATTTGTTCTTTGTATGAATCTTTTGCTAGTATTCTGCTTATAATGTTCTTTCTCTTGCCTTCTTGTTTCTATTTTTCCACTCTTTGTTCTATTGCTTCCATGATCTATTTGTTTTTTGCTTGCTTTGCTTGTATCTCATATACCTTTCTAATTAATCATCATGCCTGCTTTATCTCTTCTATCCATTCCTCTATTTCATTCAGTCCTCTATACTTCTTTATAATAATTTTGTTGTGTAGCAAATGGTCTATCCATTTGTTGATTTGTCGCATGTCCTCTTTCTGTATTTCTAAGCTCTTCTTGTTTCTTTCTCTCTTGATTTTTTCTTCTCATCTTATTATTTTATTGATCTTACAAAAGACTGTAAATTGCATTAATTTGATTTTTCTTGTCTTTTCTTGTATACTTGATATTATCTCTTTCTTTGGAAGCTCTTGAATTCCTGCTCTAAGTTATTGTTCTTGCAGATTATTCCATTTGTCTTTAATCAATTTATTACTTTCTTTTTTATTTTTCATTCCACATGCGTTGTCCTCTCTTCTTTGTACTTCTATCGCTTTCTTTCATTTTTCCCATTGTTGTGTATTAGTATAGCCATAATCAAATACTGTCCTAATACTTGACATTCTCATTTTTTTTATATCTTTTGTTATAACTCCCAGGTCTACTTCTGCCACCACCATTTTGTGATCTGTTTTTACTTCCTCTCTTATGTCTATTATGTATGCCTTTTTGCATAGCTCTTTTATTTTCTCAGTTATCCATATCATATCAATTCTGTTTTTTGTTTCTCTCTTCTATATATATTTTTGCTTGTTTCTGTTCTGGTATCTATAGGTGTCTATTAGGTCAATTTCTTCTATTACATGTATCTATTTCTTTTTTGTTTTTACTTCTCTTGTTCCTGTCTAATCCATATTGTCATTTATAGTTGTGTTTATATTTCCCATTACCACTGATGTTATGAATTGTTGTATCTGTCACTTGTTTAATATCTCTTCACCTTGTTTATTGTATTATCTCTCTTCATACCTTGCTGTGATGGTATGTATATTTGCATGACTCCCATCTTTCTTCTTTCTTTAAATGTAAACTCAATTGCTAGAATTCTATTTTCCCATTTAGTTATTTGAGTGGTATGCTTTAGTCACTCTCTTTTTATGATCATGCTCAAGGATGGGTTCCTAAACTATTTAGTATATAAAATTTCACATATTAATTATATTTCCTTTGAAGAGACATAATTATTTATTCATTACTTTAATAGAAACATAATTCAAAAAACACTTGAATCAAGTGTTCTAAATTGCAAAAAACCTTTATAGGTAGTTTTTTTTTAACCTTATATTTAAAAAAAAACTTTTTTAATAGTGAGGGACATTTGAATTATGTCTTCATCTTTAATTTAGGGACCTATCTTTAATCATGCCTATTCCCTCTGCTTGCTCTCTTGTTGGTACCCATATTGCTTTGAGTGTTGTTGTGCCTATTATTCTGTTTCATATATTTTCTTTAAATTTTGTGTCTGCTATTCCTATTATCCTAATCTGTTCATCCTCTATTAGCAATTTTATATTTTGTTGTTTACTTGCCTTGTTCAATCTATTTACATTAATTGTTGCCATCTTTACTAGTGTATTATTCATTCTGATCTTTTTATATATTCTTTTTTGTTTTTTGTTGGTTATTGTTCTTGCTATGTTGTTCTTACTTATCATTGTTCGATTTGGTTGGGTTTATTGTTGAGCCTTCTGTATTCTTGTTATGTTGTTCTGTCCTTGTTCTATTAATTTACTTACTTTCTGAACTAAACTATCCATTTGGGTCTCCATTTTCAGTTGTCTTTCTTCAATTATTCTACTGTTCACTTGGTATTGTTTATCTGTTTTTTGCTGTTATTTTTGCTATTGTTTTTTCTTCTGCCTATATAGTAATTTGCTTTCTTCACTTTTTATCCTATTTGTCTTCTCTTGCTCCTCCGGAGTCTTCTCGATTCTCAATTCGGTGCACAAATTCTCAATGTACTTTTTTATTCTTGTTATCATTTTCTTCAGTCTTGTCAATCTTGTTTCCATTGTCTCTCTGTTGCTTGTTTTCTCATATCTAGTGACTGATCTTGTTCTACTGTGCTTGCACATTACTTTCGCAAAAGTGATTGGTGCATTACCTTCTGGCCCTTTCCTGAACCTTGATTGCACTGCTATGAATCTTGCTTGTGCTCTTTTTCTATAATAATGGATCTTTACTTTTTCAAATTGATATGTTATGTGTCCATCTTGTCCATATTTGTAGTACAGTCTCTCGTGCTTATGTACCAATTTTATGTTTGTTCTCTCGAATTGGAATTCTTTACCCAATGCTTATTGCCTATTCTCTTCTATTTCAATTGCAATATATGCAAATCTTTTCTTAAAGTAATTAGTGATCCTAGGTATATATATCGTTTTTCTCATTACTTTTTTGCCAATCTCTTCCAAATCATATACTGTCATGCCTGCTGGCAAGTTTGCCAGCTTTAGTACAAATTCAGATCTTCTTTTTAGTTCTTCTTTTTCTTCTGCTACTGGAAGGATTCTCAGTTGCTCTTTTCCAAATGGGATTGACTATTGTTCTGCAAGAATTTTTGTTACTTATTCATTCTGAAAAGTTACTATTGCTATTTGCCACATTTCTATTGTCTTAAATTGTATGCTTTCAATTTCTCCAAACTTCCTCAAAAGGGTTTTTACCACTCTTTCACTAGCCGCTAATAGTATGTCTCTGATAATTACTTTTTTCTCCAAATCTCATGGTTGTAAAACTTGTTCTATGGAAATCAAATATTTTCTATTTGATTCATCTCCAAAGTTAATCTCACATGTCTGTTACATGTCTATGGGATTACCAAATGTGGCAATAATTTTATTTTGTCTGTTGAATTCTCTCACGACTGTGACTCCCAAGAAGGAGTTGAAGCGGTAGTATTCTTTTTCTACTATTTCTGCAAATCCTGCTAACTTCAAGTCTATTGGGATTTCTATTTTTCAATGTGCCTTGGTTTTCTAGTGACTTTTCCTTGGTAGTTAACCCCTTGTTCTGATTCATTCAGGCCCTTCTTTACTGCCTTGCATTCATCTGCTGATTTGTCTTTAATATCTTGTGCCTTGCTGTTTCTCTTTTTTGTTTCTTCTTGTTTCATTTCTACATCTTGTCTGCTACTTGCTTTTTGCTTACCTTGTTGCTGCTCCATGAGTGGCTCCTGCTGTTTTTCCTCTTCTTCCATTTCCTCCATTTTGTGTTTTTCTTTTATGTCACCTGTACTTGCACTTTTTCTGCTTGTCTCAAAAGTTACTCTTTCCTTACTTCCCCTCTGTTGTCTTGTGGTGGCTTTTTTACTGATACTTGTTGCCAGAACTCTTGCATCTCTTGTAAAGCTTATAACCTTTCTTTCTTTGCCTCTTCACCTGCTTGAAGTTGTTGCTGTCATTTGTCTTCTGTCTATTTTCACTGCTTGCCTTTTTTGGTAATTTCTTACTGCGCCACTGCTTATCGGGAAAGAGTTTTTTTTAGGGTATATCTAATATATTACATGTGATTTAAATTATTTGCTATTGTTTATATTTTCAAAATTCTCAAAAATAATTGTGTCATACATTGATTATCTATATGTTTTAATTGTGAATAAATTAATTGTGCAAATAATTGTATCAATTGTATCAAGGATTTATGAATTTCATTAACATGTATAGTCTAATGGTTTTTTAATTTATTTTATTTTTTGATGATTTTACAAAAATTCTATATATACTGTATATTTTATAAATTCATTATGATTTATTATTGTTGTTATTTCAAGATACCACTTGTTATAATGAGTTATTTTTTGGTATTTACTTCTTCAAGCAATAAAAATAAAATTGGATTTATGAAATTTATAATAATGTTGTAAATTTGATCTTACTATGTCCGGTTTTTTTTTATATTGCCTATTCAAATCAACAACTTTACAAAAACCAATAATTATGCCATACTTGAAATCTGTTAGCTCTTTTTTTTGACCATTTCAAAGAAATAGTAAGAGAACACAATAAAGAAAATAAATAACTATTGATGTTGATTTTGATGATACAAAATAAATAACAATTGATGTTGATTTTGATGATACAAAATAAATAACTATTGATGTTGATTTTGATGATACAAAATAAATATAATTTTTTTTAATAAGTTATATGACAGTAGAAAAATAAATTTATGTACAATAAATCATTAGGTAGATTCTAAACTTTTGGCCAGAATGTATTATTGATGTTTAAGAGATGGATAATGATGAAATATTTAACAATATCAATCCAAATGAAATAATGCTATAATTATTTTTATATAATATTTTTAGAAAATATTTTATAAAAATAAATAAAATTTCTAATTTTTTTATTTTAATATTGACCTATAATAATTAAATTTTTATTACAAGACATTCTATACAATTATATTATAACTATAACATATATTATATTCAATTGTCAGTTTCACAAAGCTTTAACATTTCGCGACGATTTTTACAAATTTTTTTTTACAAGGTGACAATCGGTATAGAGTCACGCGATTAATTCTCATGATCCGGCCTGCATAAGTGACGCACAAGTGGATGTACAATACTAATGGGTGTCACACAAGCGAGTGTACAATACTAATGGGTGTCGCACAAGCGGATGTACAATACTAATGGGTGTCGCACAAGCGAGGTAAGGAGAACCACCACCCTGTCATTTATTTTTGGTAATAAATCTCTGCTTCTCAAAGCATGGATTTTACGAGCGTTGTGCGTAAACTTGATACAGGAATGTAATTAATCTGTAGCCTAATAATTTGCTAATTTCTAACTTAAATTTTAAAGTATGGAAACTGTACACATTGCAATCGGTATAATACTTCAGAAGCTTGGTGCCAGTCGTGTGATCCCGTTAAAACTACTCTGGGATGGACTAGTGGAAATAATAATATCGATAAATTCATTAAAGAATTTCAACTTAAAGCTACTAAATATGAGGATGTAGTTGAATGGATTCCATTTAATAGGCTATCTAACTTGCGTAAAATAGGAGATTCAAAATTATTAGCAAAGTGGTTAGATGGAATTAGAAAAGTAAAAAATAATACACAGTCGCGTACACTATCTTATACAGTCAAACTTGAGAAATTGGATGATTCTCAAACAGATGTATTAGATCTTATAAAAAAAGTATGTTGTATGTTTATTTTATAATTTTTTTTAAGTAACATGATACACTAATTTTTATGTTCATTTTATAAGGTTAAAAATTATATGCAATCAAATAATTACAAGGTATATGGAATAACACAAGGTACAAAAACTAATCAATATATGATTGTATTTGAAGATTTTCTTTATAATAGACACAGTGTATATGGAAAGTGTGCGCAATGTGAGAGACATAATACTTCTTTTTCCTGGTGCCAGTCGTGCGATCCCTTTAAAACTACTCACGGATGGACTAGTGGAAATAATAATATTGATAAATGCATCAAAGAACATCAACTTATAACTACCGAATACGAAAACGTAGTTGAATGGATTCCATTTAATAGGCTATCTAACTTGCGTAAAATAGGAGATTCAAAATTATTAGCAAAGTGGTTAGATGGAATTAGAAAAGTAAAAAATAATACACAGTCGCGTACACTATCTTATACAGTCGAACTCGAAAAATTTGATGATTCTCAAACAGATGTATTAGATCTTATAAAAAAAGTATGTTGTATATTAATTTTATAATTTTTTTTTAAGTAACACGATATACTAATTTTTATAATTTGTGTATAAGTTTAACACTTATATACAATCGAATAATTATAAAGTATACGGAATAACACAGGATACAAAAACCAAAAAATATATGATTGTATTCGAAGACTTTGTTTATAAGAGATGCAGTGAATATGAAAAGTGTGCGCAGTGTGAGAGATATAATACTTCAGAAGCTTGGTGTCAGTCATGTGATCCTTTTAAAACCACTCAGGGATGGACTAGTGGAAATTATAATATCGATGAATGCATCAAAAAATATCAACTTAATGCTACCAAATATGAGAATGTAATTGAGTGGATTCCATTTAATAGGCTATCTAACTTGAGTAAAATAGGAGACTCAAAATTATTAGCAAAATGGTTAGATGGAATTAGAAAAGTAAAAAATAATACACAGTCGCGTATACTATCTTATACAGTCGAACTCGAGAAATTTGATGATTCTCAAACAGATGTATTGGATCTTATAAAAAAGGTATGTTGTATATTAATTTTATAATTTTTTTTTAAGTAACACGATATACTAATTTTTATGATTTATGTATAAGTTTAACAATTATATACAATCGAATAATTATAAAGTATACGGAATAACACAGGATACAAAAACCAAAAAATATATGATTGTATTCGAAGACTTTGTTTATAAGAGATGCAGTGAATATGAAAAGTGTGCGCAGTGTGAGAGATATAATACTTCAGAAGCTTGGTGTCAGTCGTGTGATCCTTTTAAAGCCACTCAGGGATGGACTAGTGGAAATGATAATATCGATGAATGCATCAAAAAATATCAACTTAAGGCTACCAAATATGAGAATGTAATTGAATGGATTCCATTTAATAGGCTATCTAACTTGCGTAAAATAGGAGATTCAAAATTATTAGCAAAGTGGTTAGATGGAATTCGAAAGGTTGATGAATATAATGAAAATTCACGTATATTATCTTATACAGTCGAACTTGAGAAATTTGATGATTCTCAACTGGATGAATCAGGTCTTATAAAAAAAGTAAGTACATTTAATTACAATTTTTTTTTAAGCAACACGATACACTAATTTTTGTGATTTATTTATAAGTTTAAAAATTATATACAATCAAAGAATTATAAAGTATACGGAATAACACAGGATACAAAAACAGAAAAGTATATGATTGTATTTGAAGACTTTGGTTATGAGAGATGCAGTGAATATGAAAAGTGTGCGCAGTGTGAAAGATATAATACTTCAAAAGCTTGGTGTCAGTCATGTGATCCTTACAAAACCACTCAGGGATGGACTAGTGGAAAAAATAATATTGATGATTTCATTAAAAATTTTCAGCTTAAAACTACCAAATATGAAAACGTAATTGAATGGATTCCATTTGATAGGCTATCTAACTTGCGTAAAATAGGAGATTCAAAATTATTAGCAAAGTGGTTAGATGGAATTCGAATGGTTGATGAATATAATGAAAAGTCACGTATATTATCTTATACAGTCGAACTTGAAAATTTTGATGATTCTCAAGTAGATACATTAGAACTTATGAAAAAAGTAAGTTATATATTTATTTTGTGATTTTTTTTTTTAGAAACACAAACTAATTTATGTTTATTTTATAAGTTTAAAAGTTATATGCAATCAGATAATTATAAAATATACGGAATAACGCAAGATACAAAAACCAGTCAATATATGATTGCATTTGATAGTTTCAGTTCCACGAGGTATCATTTTTATGAAAAATGTGCAGAATGTGACAGATATAATACTTCAGAAGCTTGGTGTCAGTCGTGTGATCCTTACAAAACCACTCAGGGATGGACTAATGGAAATAATAATATCGACGAATGCATCAAAGAATATCAACTTAAAGCTACTAAATATGAAGATATAATTGAATGGATTCCATTTAATAGACTATCTAACTTGCGTAAAATAGGAGATTCAAAATTACGAGCAGAATGGTTAGACGGAATTCGAAAGGTTGAAAATGTTACACAGTCACGTACATTATCATGCCCAGTCGAACTTGAGAAATTTGATGATTCTCAAATGGGTACGTCAGAGCTTTTAAAGAAAGTAAGTTGTGCGTATATTTATTTTGGGATTATTATTTTTTTTTTGGTAACACGATACACTAATTTTCGTGTTTATTTTATAAGCTTGACAATTATATGCAATCAAATAATTATAAAATATACGGATTAACACAGGATACAAAAACCAGTCAATATATGATTGTATTTGATAGTTTCGAGTCCATAAGGTATTGGTTTTATGGAAACTGTGCACAATGCGAGAGATATAATACTTCAAAAGCTTGGTGTCAATCGTGCGATCCTTTTAAAGCCACTCAAGGATGGACTAGTGGAAATAACAATATCGATGAATGCATCAAAGAATATCAACTTAAAGCTACTAAATATGAGAATGTAATCGAATGGATTCCATTTAATAAGCTATCTAACTTGCGTAAAATAGGATATTCAATATTACAAGCAGAATGGTTAGATGGAATTCGAAAGGTTGAAAATGTTACACAGTCAAGAACATCATCTCATACAGTCGAACTTGAAATAATAATAAGTGATTCTCAAATGAACACATTAGGACTTATAAAGAAGGTAAGTTATATGTTTATTTTATTATTTTTTTTAATAACATGATGCACTAATTTTTAAGCTTGTTTTATAAGCTTGGCAATTATACGCGGCCATACGGAATAACACAGGATACAACAACCAGTAAATATATGATTGTAATTGACAAATTCTCTTATACAAGGGATAATAAATATGGAATATGTGCACTATGCAATAGATATAATACTTCAGAGGCATGGTGCCAGTCGTGTGATCCCGTTAAAACTACTCAGGGATGGACTAGTGGAAATAATAATATCGATAAATTCATTAAAGAATTTCAACTTAAAACTACTAAATATGAGAATGTAGTTGAATGGATTCCATTTAATAGGCTATTTAACTTGCGCAAAATAGAAGATTCAAAATTACGAGCAGAATGGTTAGATGGAATTCGAAAGGTTGAAAATGATACGCAGTTACGTAAATCATCTTATACAGTCGAACTTAAGAAATTTGGTGATTCTCAAATGAATACATTTAAATTTATAAAGAAGGTCCATTGTATATTTATTTTATGATTTTTTTTTTTTGGTAACACGATATACTAACTTTTATGTATATTTATTAAGCTTGACAATTATATGGAATCATATGATTATAAAATATATGGAGTAACGCAGGATACAAAAACCAGTCAATATATGATCGTATTTGAAGATTTTTTTGGCAAGAGACGCAGAGAATATGGAAAGTGTGCACAATGTGAGAGATATAATACTTCAGAAGCTTGGTGTCGATCGTGTGACTCTCTTAAAACCACTCAAGGATGGACCAGTGGAAATAAGGAAATCGATAATAGTATTAAAGAATTTCAACTTAAAGTCACTAAATATGAGAATATGATTGAGTGGATTCCGTTCGATAGATTGTGTAATGTACAAACAATTGACGATTCAGTATTGACGGCAATTTGGTTAGACGGAATGAGGAAACTCAGAAATAAAGAAAAATCACGTGAAACATGTACAGTTATTCTCAATGAATTTTTGAGTTTCAAAAAGGTAAACTAAATTATTTTATATCGGCTAATTTGTATTGCAAAATAATTAATTTTTTTTTACGGTATAAGTTCAAGAGTTACATGTGTCAAAATAAAATATACGGAATAAGTTACTATCCAAAGATAAATCAATATATGATTGTCAGTGAGGTCAGTTCTGAAAAATACGAAAATTGCTTACTGTGTAATCAATGTAAAATTTCAAAATCCTGGTGTGGCTCGTGCAATCCAAATATAATAAATAAGGGATTATTAAATGGATTCTGTATTGGAGAATTCAAGCTTGAATCCATAGAATATAAAAATCTAATTGAATGGATTCCTTGTGATAAGCTTGTTCGAATGCAGAATATTGGCGAGAAATATTTAGAATTTTCAACAACCTGGTCAGACGTTAAACGAGGTAATTCTCTCATAATTTTTATCTCTGTTTCAAAACGTAATAAATATAATTTTTATAGATTATCCCGAAATACTCAAAGAATATTGCATGGTTTTGCTTAAAGTTTTGCCTGATCATCAATTATACTCTATAGAATTTTTGAAAGAAGTAGGTACATAATTATGTTACTTGTTTCTACTGAAACCTTGCTTACGAAAATCCATAATTTTTTAAGTTTAAGAGTTACATCAAACTAGATAAAAATAGAATTAATATATGCGAGAGAAGACAAACCACAAACACTAGTAAATATATGATAGAATTTGAAATACGTGAGTCAAGTATTAATGAGCCTGTTTTAAAGAGAGATTTTAATTATGGACAATGTACAAATTGTAAACGCTACAACACATCAAGAGCTTGGTGTCAATCATGTGACCCTTGGAAAACGATTAGAGGATGGACGAGTGGAAATATGGATATCAATAATTGTATCAAAAAATTTCAATTTGAGGCCACGGAATATGATAAAGTAACTGAGTGGATTCCTTTTAATAGATTAAATGATGTCAAGGAAGTTGGAAGAGGAGGATTTGGATGTGTGTATTCTGCGACCTGGTTAGATGGAAAACGAAGGATTTTATATGAAAACGGAAAGTGTGTACGGTCACGTATACAGAAATATACAGTTGCACTTAAGACTTTATCGAATTCATCGAAAAATCCGACCGATTTTTTAAGAGAAGTCAGTTTAAATAGGTTAATTTTTTATTTATCTTATTTATGAGACACTAAAATGAATTTTGTTATTTATTTATTTATTAGTTTAAAAATCATATGCAATGTAGGCTGATGGGAAGTAGTCTCGAAGTATATGGATTAACCAAAGATACAATTAAAAATCAGTATATGATGGTTTTTCAATACGCAAATAATGGAAATCTTCGTCACTCTTTAAGAACTTATTTTAAAGAATTTATGTGGATAGATAAATTATCACGGTTGATAGACATATCAAAAGATTTGACTCAAATACATGAAGCCGGGTATATTCATTGCGATTTACATAGTGGAAATATCGTATTACACAAAGAAGTATCGTGGCTTAAGAAAGCAAAATCCTATATTATAGATCTCGGGTTATCACAAAAAATCAAAGATTCTAAAACTAAGAAAGGAATTTATGGAGTTATGCCCTATATTGCACCCGAAGTTTTACTAGGCGAAAATTACACACAAGCATCAGATATATATAGTTTTGGTGTTATCATGGCAGAAATGACTACCGGAATGCCACCCTTTGATGGTTGTATATTCGATAAATTTCTTGCAATTAATATCTGCAGCGGATTACGACCAGAAATTGCTTCAGGAACTCCGCATTTCTACGTTGCCCTCGCAAAGCAATGCATGGATTCGGACCCACAGAAACGGCCTGCAGCTAAAACCATTTATAACCAACTTGAAGAATGGTATAGTTTCATGGATAAAGTAGATGAAATTGAAATCGACGAAATTGATGAAAATGAAATGGATCTTGATCAGCCCTATGAGCTTAGTGAATCTGAAGTAGAAATATGCAATAAATTTTGGGAAGCGGATGAAATAGTTAAACAGTTACCTACAACATCGCAGAAACATCAAGATTCCACTTATACAAGCAGACATATTGATACTTATAGTATTGCTCAACTTTACAACGAATCAGTTAGTAAGAATGCCGGTGCCACTCAATTAAATGACGAATCGGTTAATGTTAATGCAACAGGTAAATATTTGTTATTTAAATGAGCATTATTTAATTTACTAACCATATTTTCATCTTTTTTGATAGATTCTAATTTATATAATTATAGCATCGAATGATAATTGCGAAAAAACTTTAAACGTTAAAAATTATATCAATCGACTATAAAAGCTTAAAAACATTTTAAAAACGTTCATATAAATTCATCTATATTATTTATTTATGAGTTATACAATATTACAAATAAATATTTTTTGGATTTATTTTAATTATTTCATTAATTTAAAAAAACCAAGGTATTATTAAATTTTGATTAAAGTATTAATTTGGGTAATTATTTTTGAAGGCGACAAAAATGCTAAATATGATTTTTTTTGGACCCAGCTTTTAAACAATACATATGTAATATAAATTTTAGGATCACACCAGAAAATTTCCGGTCCACCTTCGAAAATAATTACCCATTTTAATATTATCAGTAAAAATTTTTGCGTGGATTTTTAAAGACTAATATCTATTAAATAAAAGTAAGCTTCAAATTTAAATTTGATTCAATAGTGTCTTGCCATTTGCTAAAATCCGAGATAATTATTGTACGAGCAGTTTGATGCCACCTAATATTTAACTTTTATTAAATGCTATTACTACTCAATTCATTTTGATATGTTATTTCCCACACTTATCTTCTTTGTTAATCTTTGATGCGAGATTGTTACTTAAGCGCCATATTATATATGGCATTTGTGCCTCGCTCTACTTTATAAATACAAGACATGCTAAATTTTATATTGTAACTATGTAAATTAAAATCATTAAAAAAATAATTGATTGTAGAAAGTCAAGACGGTCCGACACTGTCACAAATTATTTTAACTAGAGAAATTTTTTTATTTTTTTATATAAAAACGTTGTATAGTTTTAATACTTTCTTGTTATTATATTAAGCATCTGTCCTAATGTCTTAAGTAACGAACGAGATATTGTTAGAATTAGTACAGTAATAAGAAATTATTGAGTGTAGATTAAGATTATATTTTAATTAAGAAAAATTTTTATTATATTAATATTAGAATTAATGACTTGTAATTCAGTTTTAAATTGGATATGGCTGAAAGATGTCTATGTTATATCTTGAAGTTATTAATTGATAAATTAAAGTGTTTTGTGACAACTTCTTATTCAATTATTAAGTTTATTATTTAATACGAATTAAAATCTTTATAATTATGAGTGAAAAAATATGCATTATCAGAAATAATCGGATTGTATAACATTATTATAATTAAATATTAATGTATAAGAAATTGTATAAGGTGTTACAGAAACAAGATTGTTTGTATAAAATTGTTGCCTACTATATTTATTAGAAGCAAAGTATTTGAAAGAAATATAATAAATCCAGTTTTCCATTTCAAGAGAAAAGGTTTGATTAAAAATGTATAAACTTGCTACTTTATTATTTTTCTTATTGTATCGATTCTTTTTTAACTAATAATATTAAATACACATTGAAAGTTAATAAAATAATCAATAACTTTATAAGTATTGAATTAGGGGATGAAAATTCATCAATAAAAGTTCAGAAATTATAATTCTTTGATATATTTCAAATATGATGATCATTATTTTAAATTTTTTTATATTGTTAAAGGTACGAATCTGGATTTATAAAATTGTAGAAGTAATACTTGGTTTTGAAAGATTGAATCAGAAATTGTATGGAATGATAAAATCTTTTGTTTAAATATTTTTGTGAATAACAATTATTAAGTCTTTTAAATATTAGGAATAAATATTTAAGATCTTTTGATTTAGAAATTAAAAAAGATATAATTTCAAGAAATTTCAAGCCATAATGAATTACTCTTTTATACTATGCCCCTTAAAATAATTTGCATCATTCAATCAATTCGATACACCGCTAAAAATATTATTTTTATAAAGTAGTAAGCAAGTGGCATTTCTTATAATGCCCGAGTGAAAATATTTAAAAAATTTTGTACCATATTATTATCTTCATGTCCATCTCCATTACAAGAAACCTTTTGAGTTCCATTAACCATTAGAACATCATGACTGTAGAGGGGTAGGCTTGTATTTTGATGAATGAAACTAATAATATCCCCGCTTATTAAATGGTCTGGATCGACTTTAGAAATAGAATGCCGAATAATCCAGTAATCGTCCGGATTTTCATCCACATACAGTATATAGTTACTAAAGTATTTAGGTACAGTTGAGATTATGCGAACCGTGAAATAAAATAGACTTTGTTTTATACCGGTATGGTTTTTCCTAAAACATACCTTGCTGATGATTTGATTTTGGAGTTCTTCCACATAAAATATCATAAGAATACAAGATAATGTTACGATTGGATCATCACATTCATAATCTATTTTTTTACCATTACAGACGGCCTTTATGAATCAAATTAATATTAATTGGTGTGAGTGATAAAGGAAACAAGATTCAAAGACATTATACCATGTATTGATTATGTGGATACTTGACCCCTTCATTGTATAAATATTTGACCCCTTTATTAGATAAATATTTTCTAGTAGGCACGTGAAATAACGCGACAGTTGATCCATATTTAATCAGTTTTCCAATTAATTCGATACGCCACTGCCTGGTAGAATTGTAATTAAAAGTTTAATAATAAAAAAACATTAACTTTTGTTTAATTATTACACCTTAATATTTTCCTCATTGCAATTTCTATAGTCAGAAACTTCTTGAGTTTGTCGTCTAATAGACCTTCATAAATGCGGAGCGGTTGATCAGTATTTTTATGAAAGAGATTAATGATATCACCGCTCATTAAATGGACCGAGTCGTTATCATCAATGATATAGTTAATAGGAAAACGGAAACCATCTATAAATCTGGAACTTAAAGTTAAAGTATACAATATTGTATTAATTTAATTTAATTTAAAATCAAAATTTTTTAAAACACTAAATTTATAGAAAATACAATTATAATTTAAATTATGGTAATGATTAAATTATTTATTAGCATAATTTATTAAAAAATAATTTATTGAATTTGCTCGACAAATACACAAATAATGAAAATACGCAAAACTACTTATTTCATAATAGAATCGATCTTCTTTTTTTAAAAATTCGCACAATTATCGTATAGATAATAAAAATATGTAAAAGTTATAATTCCAAGAATAATAACATAGCCAATTCATTTTTTTTTAAGTTTGCATAAAAAATATGCAATAACAAAATAGGCAATCTGTTTTTCTTTTAAGTTTAATTAACGAATATATACAGTGTGACGGTTAATCGGCGAGTCTGTCGTTAAAATGGGGTCTTAGCGAATTTTGAGGCGTGTATAATTTGGTCGAGTAAAAGATGATAATTCACTGTCCTTTATTTACTTTTTACTTGCATCTTTTTATACATTTTAGTTGGGACGGTTTTTACATTCTGTAAATCTAGGTGTCATCGATTATCTAATGTCTTCGTGATTCTCCCTAATTACATAATGTTCTATCACAATGATTTTATATTACTTGATTGTTTTCACGATCCTCCCCTTATTATCTAACTCTCTAACACGTTATTCTACTACTATTTTTATTACTTCCCATCACTTTCATTTACGCTTTTTCATCATACCACTTTAAGTACCATGACAGGAACGAGTCCTTCGAACCATCGCGATGCTTAGTCACGTAACTGGAGTCGCGTCACTATTTTTACCCTCTGACAACAGTAAATAACAAAGCATAGTTGTTAGTAAGTTGCTAATGCTATCATAGTAAATAAAACTTATTTATAGTATTTCATCTGAGTTGCCCGATACTATTATTAAAGTTTAATTAATTATATAAGTTTCATCTTAAGAATTTGCACAAGAAATAGAAATACGTTTATAAATTTATTTAGACAATTTTATTCAATACTAGTTATTAAAGTTTATTTAATTGTAAAAAGTTTTATTCGAAGTTTTTTTTTACTATCAGAGTTTATCGATTATCAACATATATTAAACATAACTTGTAACAAAATATTTCGTCATGGTTTCATTAAAAATTATTAATAAAACTTAAGTCCAATTATATTATTACAGAAAACAAACACGTGAATTTCTCATAATTGGTAATATTTTGCATAGTGCTCTAGTCATAATTTTTCTGCCAATTCTTCTGTTCTACTACCTACTAAATTTAAATTAATTAGAATGATATTTTCGTATAGTGCACTTGCGGTATTTTCCTATCGATTTTTTTAATATAAATAATGAATGATACGATCATAAGCAGGAACACTGTAAATCGAGAGAAAATGAAACACCTGATCAACACAAAACGCGTCTTGTGAGGGAGCGTGAATACAAACAGCAAAAAAAATCAAAGGAGAATACTGAAGAACGAGAGATGTGTATTTTGCACGCGATAGAGAACGAAAGCATATAAGGTGAGCAACAGATACAAATGAGCAGCAGAAAAGATGTTTAAATTATTATCGAAAATAAAAAACTTTCTTGAGGGACATTAATATGAAGATCAAGGTACAATAAATCAAGACTTGAATTCACAAATACAACAACCACAGCAAAAGCAACAGTCTAGTCAAAAAATATTAAATGGCATGACTACAAATGACGAATTACTTTCTGCTATATTGAGTAAATCTGAGTGAGATCTTTTGAAGAAATTTTATAAAAAATTTGCAAAATTTAGGCATAAACTTTGTTTTACATATAATGAAAGCTTCTAATCTATAAATATCAGAAAAGGTAAATGCATACGTTGTTATAATGAGAACTCACTAAAAGAGTTCACGGTAGAAAACAATATGCACCCTGGAGAAGTAAACAATAAGCTTCAAAATCTCAGAAATTGAGGAAATGTTAATTGCACGTGTTTTTCCTGTCATGTCAATCCGAGGACAAATGGTTAGTGTCATGGAAGAAATTGTCTCGACATCCATTATCATTATATGTGCTTATTATATATTATCAATCCACAAGTAATTATGAAGTATTCAAAGATTTTGGAGATCATCATACTAAAGTTGCTCGCATTATTATGGTTTAAAGAGAATGATCGTTACTATTATAATATAACTATTGATCATGAAATTATCCAGTCCTTTCTTATTGATGGTTTAATTAACAAAATACTTTAAAATATTGATGAAAAATCAAATGACAATAATGAAAACGAGATGATATAATTACACATACTTTTGTTCTACTTTTTCTTGCAAATAGTTATGAAGACGTCATGAAAAATGCCTCCTTCGATCGGATACAAAAAAATAATACTATTACATGACCACAAATAAATAGCAATCTTATTAATGAATTTCAAATGACAAGATATATTGCATGAGCATTTCCATCTTTATATCCAGCAGATTTTTGTGCTGGGCAACTCAGAGGTAAAACCTGCTGAATCCTTCAAAGATCTTCTATATAAAGATGGCAGATTTGTAAAGTATACACATTGATGATTTTTAGCATATAATTCTAAGATGCATTGGAGAGCACTACAAGAAGAAAAGATATAAAACATTAATGATGATCAAATTTCAATTTCATATATTCAGGAAAGAATTGTCCAAAATTATAATTATATAACCGATAGAATTATGTGATTTGATAGAGGTTTTTATAAAACTCATGATATTATGAACTTCTAATATGCTTAAACAAATAGGTGCCCAAAGTTTAATCTTCTTTACATTAGTGCTGCTAATCCACACTGGCCTGAGCTTTACAAGCTTATACTATTTAAATACAATTCTGAAATCCCCATATTGTAGTATGGTTTTATAGTAAGTGATTTACAATTTTTTTAATGACATTTTGAAAAAACAATGGGATTTGGAAGATTGGTGATATAGTTTTGAATGGAAATATCACAGAAGTATTCATATACAGTACATGGAATTGGCAAATGAAGAAATGCACCTAGAAACAGATAAAAAAACAAAAAACAAAATGAATAAAATTATGCAATACCTTAATAATTTATTTATTCCAATTAATCCAGAACTTGATATGTTTGTTACTAAGTAGCATCCATATCAAAATAATGGAAGGGAATTGTGAGATAATTAGTAAAATTATATTGATCTAATTAACAAACTATAAAGACATGCCTGATTTAGTTTGACATATTGTCTTTGTATTTAAGATAAAAAACAAATATACAGATTTGGATATTTTAAAAAAAATTATAGAGCATACTTTAGTATATAATAATAATTATGGTCAATTTGAACTAATAGCAAAAAGAAATAATTTATTTATCAATCCATATAGTAGACTTCAACTACAAGGCTAATGAGCTAATATTGATTTAAAGCTAATATTAAGTATACATGCTGTATTAAAGAATTTTATATTGTTTGTTGTCATAAATTAGTTAAAGTTTTTCTTGAATTTTCCAATCAAAGAAAAATAGCTATATATTTAATTAAGATAATTGAATAGATATAATAAAAGGTTTAAAGAGTTAATCAAAATCAACAACTTCTTCAAGGTTAATACGGATTTTATTAATATTAATTAAATTTGAAATAGTAATATAATTATCAGAAAAATTGATTATTTGTTAAAAATAAATATAATTGACTGTATAAAGATAGTAGAATATGAATATAAATTAAGAAATTTTATTGATTTATTAATTGTTTTATCAATTTTTATAGAATTTTAAATTTGAATAAAGTTGGAATAATAGGCAGAAGATTTGCATATATAGTATATACATTGTAATTGTTTAATCAATATTTTTTTAAAAAAAACAGAAGTAATAGATAGAAGATTATTTTTAAAGATAAGCTAATTGAAATTTTTTGTTTTTCTTAAAAAAATGAAAAAATTTTAGAAATGGCTGTAAAGTTCTATATTAAGTTATGTTTTTTTTGTTTTTTTTTTACTATATTACTGACATTAAAAGTTGAAAGAAGTGTTTATTATATTGAAGAATAAAATTTAGATTTAAAAAAATCATCCTTGATTTTTTTTGACTATTTCTGTTGTAAATTTAATAATATAAATATTATTGTAAAATCTGTTTTAACAATTTCTGTAACATTTTTTTCTTTTATAATAAATAATTAGTTAAAAAACTTTATTAAGAAAGTGATAAGAATTTTTACAAATTCTGTTTTAATAATTTTGAAATAGTAAATTTAAAAAAACTTGATAAATAATAATATATAAAACCTTTTTTTATTATTATTTGATATAGAATATTTCATATTAGAAGTTAATTTGTAATTATGAGTTCTTGCAAATACTTAAAACTATTAGCTTTTACAAACTTTATTAAAAAAGATCTTGATGTATGAGAAAAACTATAGTTCTATAATATTTCATATTACTATATAGAACATTTTAAATTAAAGAAGTTATACAAGAAAAACTTTATTAAATATAAGAAAAACCAGATAACTCTATTATTTTTCAAAGGAAAAGGATCTTTTTTATATACATGTTTTCCTAATATAAATAAATAAAGTAGAAATACAAGTATGAAATAGTAATTAAGACTCTTTCCTACACAAGAAAAATTATCTTTTTAAGAAATCGAAAAAAGCAACAAGAAAGTGAAAAAAAAATAGGAGTCAGTTAAGCAACAATATCAAGTAAGAAAGAAAAAGAGACACAGAGAAGAAAACAATAAATGCAACTAGAGAAGCGATAGTAATAGCAACTATGATTGTCAAAAGAAAACCAGGAAGACCTAAAAGCTTGGATAAAGAAAAGAGAAAAAAAATACCAGCACGTGCAACAAGCATCAACATAAGGAAAAGAAAAAAAAACAGAAGAAAAAGACAAAGAAGCAGAGAAAGAAATGCAAGAGGCAACAGGGAAACAAAATATGGAGATTGAAGAGAAGGATACAAAAACAAAAGAGAAAAGTAGGAATATGGAAGAAGCACATATTAGAGCAGAAGTAAAAAGGGCATACAAAGAGAAAGAAAAAGAGTAGCAGAAGAAGGGAAAACCAATATAAGTAAAAAGAAAACTAAGACACACATGCACAATAGAGCTAGCAGCAGGCATCAAATCAGTAGAAGCTTTAGAAATAGTAGAGGAGGCATGTATAGCCTTTGACTCTTTATGGAAAGTAAGAGTAGAAAGAGAAATGGTGGGAAAAAAGAAAGCAATTATTGCCAATTTTGGAAATCTCATTGACATGCAGGAGGCATGTAATATCAACTTTGATATAGATGAAAATAGAGAATATTTAATTCCGGTGGAACAAAGAAAACATCAATCAGAAGAGAAAAATACAGTAATAGTCAGAGATATTTCCCTTTCATCAAGTGAGGAAGAAATCAAGGCAACATTAAAAAAGTTTGGTATATCCATACCGTAGAGATCCAACCAGTAACAATGTGGCAAACAGCAACTGTGACTTTTAAGAAAAAAAAGAATGCACAACTATTAGCTGAAATGTGATCAATCCCTTTTGAAAATGAATACTTAAGAATACTCCCAAAATAAAAAGAGAAAGAAGAACTCGCAAGAAGATCCAAATATGTACTCAAACTAGCAGGTTTGCCAGCAGGCATCACAGCATATGATTTAGAGAAAATAGCAAGAAAAATATAAGAAAAACCCCTATATATTCTTAGAACAGGTAGATATTTCCAAAAAAGATTTGCATATATAGCATTTGAAACAGAGAACTAACTAAAAGCGGCAGACAAACAAACCTTTATTTTGGACAGAATGACAATCAGTTTTGTGAATCAGTATGAGAGACTTTGTTACAAATATGAACAAGGTAGACATATCACTTTTTAATGTGAAGAGGTAAAAATTCAAAGGAACAAATCTATCGCTCAAGCAAAATTTGTATCAATTCAATCAAGGTTCAGAAAAGGACCAGAGAAAGAGGTACCCATATCCTTTGCAGAAATAATAAGAAAGTGAAACCAATCCAGATCAGTACTCAAAAAAGAAAGCAAGAAACAAGAAAAAATCAAAAAGAGACTAAGCAGTTTAGAAGTGAAAATCAAAAAAATGGAAGTGAAAATCAATATGTTATAGAAATGGTAGACAATATCACAAGAAAAACAAAAAGAGCAGAATACAGGAAAGAAAGAATGGAAGAACAGCAAACACAATATCAAGATGCTGAAGAGATGAACATTACAGAAAAAGAAATTCCATTGACAACATATGAGGTGATCAATAAGGAAGTAGTAAAAAGATAAGAGAAAATAGAGAAACAAATAGAGCAGATGGGAAGAATATTAATCAATTTACTGGAAAATGGCCAGTCAACAATTATAAAGAAGAAACAGCAGTTGCAAGGACAATAGGAAAGATTTGTATTACAACAACTACAAAAAAAATATTATATTACAACAGGAAAATAACAAAACTAACAAAAAAAAGTCAATATCTATAAGGGAAAAAGAACAAATATGGAAAACATAAAAATTG